ATTGATTTTACCCATGATTAACATGTCACAATTTCTAAAGGAAATAACTTTTATTGCCCTTTTTATGTCACTATTATTATTGATTTATTATATTCATTGTATCCTTCAATGACCTTCATACTCTGTTTACATAAAAAAATTAAAATAATTTAAAACCAGCAAATAAAATAACTTGTAGAAATGATTAGTATACTAAGTGGAAGTCAAAAGTCTTAAAATTAAATAATTCAATTTTCATTTCAAAGGACACAAACAAGATTTTAATGATAAGTGGGACAATTCTACAGGAAATCCTAGTCGGTCATCGTTACTCCCCGACAATCAGCAGATAAACCCAGGACAATCTGATGACAGATCTTTCTACGACAGATTGTTTGGAATCAGACTGTTTGGACCAAAACGTGACGATAAATAACATCTAGCAGTACATTGTAAATTAGTGCTTTAAATTAAATGGTGGTTAAGTCTTCACAATTCACAAATTGGGAAGTCTACATTGTCTTTCAGTTTATGGTGTAGGAAGATGACAAGTTTTACTGTGCTGGGTTATTTTTGCCTTTCAGGATTCATGTAATGATCAAATTAAAAAAAAAAAAAACAATAACAACAACCCAAACATCACTACATTTAAGGAAAAAATAAATCTTGCCAAATGTCATGCATCATACACATTTCAAAATTTTTTCTACAGGGCTGGGATACATAAATCAAAGTACTGAAAGTACTGAAAAGCGGTTAGCATGCTTTCATCTAATATGTACCGAAAAAAGTGCATAAAATGATGATATTTAAGTATGCATATCTTTGTCCATTGTCATCAGAGAAAACCCCCCCAGACATTCTGTTTTTGTAATACTTTACTTAATAGTAAAACCAATAACATTTCAAACTGATGTCACAGATGGATGCAATCTAATTAAAATTAGATGTTCCGAATCCGCTACTGCTTCTCAAACATCTAACAACATCCTATTTGGGGTCATGTAAGAGTGAATCTTCGATTAGACAAAGAAAATGGTTCCTCCGAAATCTTGGCTTATATTTCAGATGGGTTTCTTGTTTTCACCACCGAACCAAAACACCCGAGGAGTTTTGTAGTAAACAAAATATGCATTGCAAAAGCTGTGTTATGTATGACGTGTGGGGTATCTTGTATAGTTTGTGCTCTTTCGTTTGCATTATTCACGTTCAGATGCCAGACTGCAGACTATACATGAATTTTATTCCAAAATTACTTTAATTCAACGTAGGACAGTATCAATAATGATGATATGTAGCCGTGGAATTAATTTGAGAATTGTTTACCGAGGCTTGAATCTACATGGTCAAAGTGTTTGTGTTTACTTGTACATGTATTCATAATCGAAAGGTCGCTCTGATGTGACCCCGAATGGGATGTTAGATGTTTCAGAAGCGGTAGCGGATTTGGAACATTTAAATGAATTTTAATTAGATTGAAATGCATGTTTCAAAATTTAAACATGAGATTTCTTCAGTTTGAAAGACAGGAAGTGCATTTTTAAACGTTCTCTCTTGATGGCATCCAATTGTTCTCTGGATGAAAACAATTATGTTGATGTTGAAAATTTAATTGTCTTTTATGCTCTATTGAATCTGAAATTAGGTAATTGTAAAGCCTACTATAGCAAACAACTAAAAAAAATGACAAGTTAAATTCTTTAGATTAATGGATTTGGAGTAGTGTAGATCTACAGCTGGCTAGTCAGAGAAAAAAGGATGGCTGAGCAGAGACTTTGTAAATGAATTGATATCAGAGAGCTTCAGTTGTGTAGGCTCATCGCGGCTATATAATTAACCTGTCAACGAGGGATGCTTACTTCTTCTAGGCAACGGATCCCACCTCTTGAACTTTCAGGAGTCAGCTTTTCTTCTTAAATCGATCATTGATCATTCTGTATTTTGATACAGATACTGAATACTTCCGTTTAGTAATATTATAAACTACTACTTCTACGGGAAGACTGGCGAGTAAACAAGATTATCAAGCTTTATGAAATGTACTTTATTGACTTTTCAAACAAGTAAATGTTCGAATAAAGTAAATGGTATATGAGAATCATTTAAAAGAAGTCTTGCACAATATGTCTAGATAAGTATATATAATGTGTATTTGCCATATACTCTTCATGCAATATTGTTCTCAAATAAAACGTGAAAAGGAAAGTTGTCTAATCACTCAATACTAGTATTTAAAAATCCAAATGTACACTAAAAATCAGTGTAACTTAAGAAGTTATCAGTGTCACTTTCTTCAATATGTCGGTTAAACAATATACACTGATTTCTTTTCTATCAATGTGCCTCTAAACACCTGTATTTTAATTTAATTCTTCTCAAACGCTCAAAACAATAATCGACAAATTGGACAAATTCAAATTTAAAAAGTATTTTCACAGCTAATAATACGTTCCCTAGGAATTGATCAAACTTTCAAAACTTATGAATAAGCATTAAGCATATATTTTAAATTTTTGCTAATTGCCAAGCTTTTTCATACCTCATTCTTCTGTGAAAATAATATCGGTTGATTTTTAGAAGAGGATCACAATGCTGATTAATTAATATATATATCTCCATTTTTTTTCTAAATTAATTTTACTACTTTAAGTGCCCCATTATTTTTTTCAAAACTAAAAGTAAGTGATCCCTTATGATCGTTTGTAATAAATTATCAAAGACGGAGTAGAGAATTTACCCCTGGGAGCAGAGCTTTTATAATCTGTTTATTAGACAGAGAAGAAAAGAGAAGAAAAGCAAACGTTTCATTGTGGAGGTAATCCTATTGTTTCCATAAAAACGTTACAAAAAGTGTAAAACTTACAGATGCATTCGGTGTTTTTATAAAAGCGTTTTCAGGTATTACTTAACTTAATAAATGGTGTTTCTTAATACTTTGGCAAGGAAAATCAAACTCGATCGAGAGATTTGCTGATGTTTTTGCAGTCTGTAATAACCTTCAACCTGCTGTATAATTAACCGTATCGTTCAACTTTCAAAAATAAACTAACAGTTGCTATAAATCGCGATCGCACGATGTACATGTAATAAGGACCTAATTCTCAGTTCTTTGAAGTAAGTGTTCTAAGTATTGTCAATGCTTTGGTAAATATTAATAAGAATTCGATATAATCGTTATAATAGCCACTCTACATACACACAGCATACTGTCAATCTCTCACCAGGGGGCGTATTACGCCAACAGTATACAAATCATAGGAAGCGCTTTGCTGAAGTTACCGTTGTCGATAGGTAGCGCCTTGTGGAAGTTTCCGGTTTTGGTTGCAGAAGGATAAGGTTACGTGCGATAAAGCGATGTCGATAGGTAGCGCCTTATGGAAGTTTCCGGTTTTTTGGAGCCCATGCCATAAAGCGGTTAGCTAGCTAACCGCTTAAAAATCATACATTAATGAATCCTTTTATTTCTATTACAAAATTTCATGAACTTCATTTTAATGCAAAGAAATGCATGACATGGGGTAGAAAGGTACTACCAGACAAGAATTGGCAGATTCACCCATGTTCTATGTGTTGTACCAGATTTCATCTGCTGCAAATTTTGCCTCACTTCAGTTTGTCAATTTTGTTATAAATGTTGATATCAATAAACTAAATTTGATTTTAAAGTTATTTATTTTGTCCCCACTAAAAGGATCTAGGAAGATTTAATTACAGTTATCTTGTGGTTGGTTGTTGTTCCGAAATTAATGTTGCAGCTGTTGCAGAAAAAAACCAAACCCTCGTAAAGTGAATTGTAAACAGTTTTTTCCTGCAACAGTAGAAATTAATTTGCTATGAATGAGCAATAATGTGGCAGCTATTTTCAGAGTGTTTTCAGAACAACATAAAATGGTATCATTTGTAGTTGTTGCAGTTTGTGTCATTTCTTTGAATTATATAAAGCAATCAGAGGGCTTCTGGTGAAGAGAAGTAGACCAAGCAAAATAAAAAAAAAATGGCATATCCATAGCTTCTAAAATTTCCAAGAAAATAGAATTTTTTGAAGTATATCAATTGGTGTAAATCAATTCTTTTTATAAAGTGAAAATAATTTTGAATTTAACTTTCAAAAAAAAAAAATGGAAAAGATTGAAAATTGTGAAGTGGATTAAATAAAGGAAGTCAAAAGACCGCAAACATATTTTAATGAACTAATACACAAAACATTTTGAAGTTAACAATTTATATGGATATTTAAAAGCGAAATAACTGTATTAAAAACAAATGAAAACAAGATGTGTTTGTGAAACACTAATGCCCAGTATGGCAGCTTATGGCGAAGGTTGAAGTCATCATGTTTATCATAGAGCATGGTTGTTAGATTACCAGAAGTATATAGATGTTGTAAGTTAAACTTCAAAGTCAAGGTCAAAATTGTTGATATCAAAAGGAAGTTGTGTCACAAGAAATACACCTACATGTATAAAACATAAAATCTCAAGTATTATCTTATCAAAAGGTATTGCCATTGTTAAAGTTTTTCTTGAAAATGGGTCAAACTCTAAGGTCAAGGTGAAAAGGTAAAAGAAAAATACCTGAATACATGTGTGAAGTATGAAAGCAATAGCACCAGCTGTTCAAAAGTTATTACCAAGGTTAAAGTTTGTTTTTTGTTTTTTTTTTTGTAAAAGTAGGTCAAACTCGAAGGTCATGTTCAAAAGATAAAATAAGGTGGTATAGGAAGAAAGGTCTTGTCACAAGGTTAATGTTTTTGTGGGCAGACAGACCGCTAGACAGACAGGTCAAACACTATATACAGATACCCCGAATCATCGACTAGCGCTGCTTTCTTTCAGTATTGAATTGTATATAGCCGTAAAATCATTTTAACAAATAAAATAAACAAAAAAAAAGTACCTACAATTTTAGAAGATATACATGTATTAGAAAAATGCATGTAAATAAATGTTGACATCAGAGTTCCTCTTTGTTCTTCAAGATTTGTTTAGGGGAGTCACTGAAATCTGCAAGTCGTTTTTTGATTTCTTCCTCTACATTAGAGTCGTCAGTCGGGGGCACAATTTCCTCCCTCACACGACGTTGTCCGTCCGTCGCCTCCTCTTCTTCCTCCCCGTACCCACCCTCCCCCTCCATAAGTTGACGTAATGCGGGAATCTCTAACAAAACCTTCTCCAAATCCGCCATTTCCACTTCGTATATTGTTATTTTTCCATCTTCATCAGCGTCAAGCAGTTTAAATAGCTGAAAAAGAATAAATAAACATCATAAATAATGTACAGCTTACAATATGAATCGGATAAAAGTCAGATCTTCGTTGCTTGATCTTCTTTAATGATATGTCTTTATAGAGATCTACATTTCAGACTCACAAACACACACACATATACCAGATACTCTTCGTAAAAAGCTGACTTTAGCCTTTGGATAGATGAGCTAAAAATTCTTGACACTCGTTCTGCTTGTTTAAAGTATGGGAGACGTACCTTTTTAATTTCCTCTTTTTTAACTTGGTCCGATTTTATTAGGTTTTTAAACGTCTGCCAGTCCATAGTTTCTAAGTCTTCTACTTCAGAAATCAAAAAGTCCCTGAAGTTTGTACAAATACTTTAATTGATATGGTCAGCAGATCACATAGTGTTCTTTATTGTGATAATGTTATTTTATACTAGCTGCAGATCTGTAGCTCGCTGGTCTGAAAAAAAATTGGGACGGTCGACCAGAGAGCTAGAGTGCCACCCATAGCAAACACTTATTTTGCGCAAAAAATGTTGCGCTCGGATCTGGATTACCTCAATAGCCAAAAAAGAAAAATACCAGTACCTAAGATCTGTGATGCTTGCGTCTTTCCTGAATGCAGACACAGAAACGAAGCTCTTTTCGTCAGGGTTGGTTGTGGTACAATCACTCTCGTTGAATTTCGTGAGGCGATGAATCCAAATGTTTATAGCAAAGTTTCTACCCTTTTTTGAGTCTACATGATGGTACCATCTACGTAAATCATATTAAAAAAGTTCAGGTATAAAAATGTGTACAGTCAGACAAGCATGTAAACTTGTCTGTATACATTTTTATAACAGGCAATTAAAAGAATTGTGGTCCCTGCTTTCGGTGTCTTAGTGGATGGGATGCCATTATTAGTGACATATTGTGTGAAATATGAACGCACTATTATATTTCATTAAAGAGTATTCACCAAAATTATTTTTTTTTAAATTAAGTCTAACATGAATGTCAAGGTCGAGAGGTCAAAAATCATAGCGAGCTCGGAAATATCTTGTCATGAAATGCACATGGCAAATATAAAAGCCTCTTCTCAATCAAAAGTTAAAAAGAAAGATAACATTTTTGAAAGGTAGGTTAAACGTGATGGCCAAGGTCAACAGTCATTATATGTTTAGAATCTTGTCACAGGTAAAATACATTTTAATATGAAAACCTTATCTTCTCCCTTCAAAAGTTTAGAAATGTTTTTTTTAAGTAGGTCAAATTTCAAGGTCACAGGGTAAAAATTCATATACAAATCTAGTTTATTTGGAAACGACTTGTCAGAGGTAATATTAATGTACAATCTTCATATGACATATGAAATCTCTATCTCTTCTCATTCAAAAGTTATGACCAAGGTGACAATTTTTTGTGCCATTTTTTTTTTCAAGAAAGCGGGAGACAAAAAAGAAGGTATAAAATATAGTCATATTTATACATACTTGTAGGGAATGAAAAGACAGTCTCCTTTATGCATTTTGATTTCATACCACGGTAAATCACGAAATTTAGGAAATCGGTTCAGGTCGACTTTTTCTACATCCACTTTGCTGTAAGCTCCATTTTCAATCCATCCATCGGCCTCCACCTCTGCTTTATGTTTCTTTCAGATAGGTAAAATAGAGTGTTTTTGGTTATAGATTAATTATCACAAGGTTGAAAATTCATCAGAAAACGATTCTTTTACTTTGAACAGCACTAATGGTTCTGTAAGCATTTGCAAGGGTTATGCCAAATTCTATTTTGGTTAATTTTGACATACAGTAACGTTATTAGACAGAATACATATTTCTTGATTACATGTACTTTAAATAAAGTTGATTTTATATTTCAAAAAAATCAATAGGTGTATTGACATAAAAAGTCACCATATGATAAGTAACTGGAATACATAATTTGATAGTACTTATCGATCATGACGAAGTAATTTTTGCCGTCAATCGGACAGTTGTTTTGTCTCTACTATTACCTTATCGATCATGACGAAGTACTTCTCGTCGTCAATCAGACAGTTGTTTTGTCTCTACTATTACCTTATCGATAATGAGGAAGACTTCTCGCCGTCAATCAGACAGTTGTTTTGTCTCTACTATTACCTTATCGATAATGAGGAAGACTTCTCGTCGTCAATCAGACAGTTGTTTTGTCTCTACTATTACCTTATCGATAATGAGGAAGACTTCTCGCCGTCAATCAGACAGTTGTTTTGTCTCTACTATTACCTTATCGATAATGAGGAAGACTTCTCGTCGTCAATCAGACAGTTGTTTTGTCTCTACTATTACCTTATCGATAATGAGGAAGACTTCTCGTCGTCAATCAGATAGTTGTTTTGTCTCTACTATTACCTTATCGATAATGAGGAAGACTTCTCGTCGTCAATCAGACAGTTGTTTTGTCTCTACTATTACCTTATCGATAATGAGGAAGACTTCTCGTCGTCAATCAGACAGTTGTTTTGTCTCTACTATTACCTTATCGATAATGAGGAAGACTTCTCGTCGTCAATCAGATAGTTGTTTTGTCTCTACTATTACCTTATCGATAATGAGGAAGACTTCTCGTCGTCAATCAGATAGTTGTTTTGTCTCTACTATTACCTTATCGATAATGAGGAAGACTTCTCGCCGTCAATCAGACATTTGTATTGTCTCTACTGCTACCTTATCATTCAGACAGTTGTTTTTTCTCTACTATTACCTTATCGATCATGACGAAGTTCTTTTCGCCGTCGATCACACAGTTGTTTTGTCTCTGCTAATACTACTACCTTTTCGATCATGACGAAGTACTTCTCACCGTCTATCAGACAGTTGTTTTGTCTCTACTAATCAGACGTTGTTTTGACTCTACTATACTACCTTATCGATCACGACGAAGTACTTCTCGCCGTCAATCAGACAGTTGTTTTGTCTCTGCTACTACCTTATCGGTCATGACGAAGTACTTTTGGCCATCGATCAGAAGTTGTTTTGGCCCTACTATATTACCTTATCGATCATGACGAAGTACTTTTCGCCGTCGATCAGACAGTTGACGTTGTCCAGGCCATCGTTGTGGAGTACTGACTTAGTCCCGCCGCTACTGAACCACATGATCACATTCTGGACAACCTTCTGGAAACCCCCACACAGGAACATAGAGGGCATGTTGATTTCCTCTGTAAGGTGAAAACATTGTTGTCTATAGAAAACGAAGGTTTTTAATCGATCTCATAACTGTAACACAGGGCATAAAATTTTATGTAAAAATACTTAAAGAGATATATTGAGTAGTTGACCCTGCTGTTTTAAAAAACAGTAAAACACGGTTATAGCGAACACGGTTTAATGAATTGACGCTTATAGAGAATTGATTTTCATTCCCTGTGACTTAAAACTTTAGGCCAATCCAAGTTTTTTTTTCGTTTAGCGTCCGCGTGCGCCTTGGTTTTTGACACCCCATGTCAGTAAAAACAAACAGAATCAGTAGTCTTAAAATTGATTATTCTGGTCAAAATTTGTGATTTCTGTCAATATCTCTAAATATTTGTATCTAAATAAAAATAAAATCATATCCCCTGAATTATGTAAAAATTTTTAATACTATAAAATCTGTGTTTTAATTTTTTGACTTGTGTGATTTTTGCGAATAGGTAGCTTGGTTTTTGAACACAGATGGGTGAACGCTAAACAGAGAAAAAACTTGGAATGGCCTTATTATACACTGTATATTTTACATATATATATGTGTGTATAACCCTTGTAACGAAGCAAACTCGTCCGCTTCGTTATAAGCCTGTTTTACTGTCGAAAAAAAGGAATTTTACTGACTGGCCATTTCCTCTGAGGCGTCATTAACCATATAAATGTCTTCCTTTGAGTATCGATCTAAGAAGTCAGACATAGTAATGCTTATCATATTTCCTCTTCTGTCTTCCTTTTTTCCGCGTTCCACATCGACCTTTTCTGAACCAAAATGTTCTCTGAAAAATACAAGGCCTGACCATGTACTTAATCTATTATATATTTTTCTTAAAGATATTTAGTTTGACTAAGATGGCGAGAAAAGAAAAAAAAATTTCTAAAATTTATTTTATTCTTCGTACGGAAGCCCTGGAGGGACATTGACTTACTTGTTATGACTTATTTGTTATAACTTTTTTGTTTTGACTTATTTGTTGTGAATGTTTCGTAGCTAGTTATAACTAAAGTGTAAGAAAACTATTGAAAACCTGTTGCTTCGCTTAATTTTATGATAAAAATGACATTTAGTCCTATTTTAACTGTAGTTTTTGATTAACAAATTGTAGTTTAACGTCCAGTACAATTGACATTACTAAAGTAAATATTATTTTTGTTGTTATGACTTAATTCTTATTTTCTAAAAGTTATTACTTAATTCTTATATGTAACTTCCAGTTTGCATAATGATTGAAGACAAGAACATGACTACTATTTTTTCTTGTCGTTTGTTATAAATTCAAGGACATTTTTTTCTTCTTTCTGAAAATATACATTGCCTCCATCTTTCACGCCACTTTTTGTAAACTAAACTTGTCATAAAAAATTCAAAATAACAAGAATTCAAAGTTAAGTCATAAGAACTAAGTCAAAACACATAAAAAATAAGTCAAAACACAGTTAAGTAACAACACTAAGTCAAAACACATAAGAAATAAGTCAATATCCCTGAAGGGTGTCCGTAATTAACAGATAAAAATTTAGTTATCATATCAGTTTTGTAGGCTTAACTACAAAACTACAATTAATCGTTCTTAGTAGCTTACCTACACTTAGTTTGAACTAACAAAAAAAAATCTCAAAACAAATAAGTTATAACAAATAAGTCATTACAAGTAAGTCAATGTCCCTCCAGGGCTTCCGTATGTTTTAAGTTAAAAGCCATGGATAAGAACATATTGTAACATAAAAGAAATAAGTCATATTCAATACTGAACAATTATTTGACCAAAAACTTTATTTCAAGACGAAGTACGGAAGCCCTGGAGGGACATTGACTTACTTGTAATGACTTATTTGTTATAACTTATTTGTTTTGAGATTTTTTTTTGTTAGTTCAAACTAAGTGTAGGTAAGCTACTAAGAACGATTAATTGTAGTTTTGTAGTTAAGCCTACAAAACTGATATGATAACTAAATTTTTATCTGTTAATTACGGACACCCTTCAGGGATATTGACTTATTTCTTATGTGTTTTGACTTATCTCTTATGTGTTGTTACTTAACTTATTTCTTATGTGTTTTGACTTATTTTTTATGTGTTTTGACTTAGTTCTTATGACTTAACTTTGAATTCTTGTTATTTTGAATTTTTTATGACAAGTTTAGTTTACAAAAAGTGGCGTGAAAGATGGAGGCAATGTATATTTTCAGAAAGAAGAAAAAAATGTCCTTGAATTTATTACAAACGACAAGAAAAAATAGTAGTCATGTTCTTGTCTTCAATCATTATGCAAACTGGAAGTTACATATAAGAATTAAGTAATAACTTTTAGAAAATAAGAATTAAGTCATAACAACAAAAATAATATTTACTTTAGTAATGTCAATTGTACTGGACGTTAAACTACAATTTGTTAATCAAAAACTACAGTTAAAATAGGACTAAATGTCATTTTTATCATAAAATTAAGCGAAGCAACAGGTTTTCAATAGTTTTCTTACACTTTAGTTATAACTAGCTACGAAACATTCACAACAAATAAGTCAAAACAAAAAAGTTATAACAAATAAGTCATAACAAGTAAGTCAATGTCCCTCCAGGGCTTCCGTAGAAAACCCAATTGGTTTGAATTTTAATAAAAATATCGACCCGGATGTCAATTACATGTTTTAGTTTTATTTAAGAAATAAAGTCCGCGTTTTCGTGAATGTTGCAGGATAACCTCCGAGGTCGAGAAATGTTGTTTGAAAGATAAAAGCCAAGGCTTTTATATTTCAAACAACATTTCGAGACCGAGGAGGTTATCCTGCAACATTCACGACAACAAGGACTTTATTTCTATTCTACAAAGATCATGCTAAAATACGCCTGATCGTTTCCTCTATAGAGAAACGAAATAGGTCACCATGTCTCGATTACGCTGTTCCATTTAACATCAGAGGGAAAATTTGTTTGCTTACATGTGTGTGGAATGCCGACAATTTGAGCTTTCGTTGCATTAGAAATATCCGTTTTGAATTCCAAATTTGTTCGTTATATGTATTGATTAATTTTAATGAATATACAATATCAAAATCATGTTTCTGTTTAACTGCTTTATTGGTGTTTAAATGTGTAGGGAGGTCCGTGGAATAGCCCCGCTTGGCAATAAAAACCGACATTCATCAGCAACTTGATGCAATTTACAGTGTTCAGACTGCAAAAGAAGACGACACATCTATGAGGTCTAAATAAGTATTTCATTTTAGAGTCAAGTATTTATTTCAACTGTACAGGTTTGATACGTGTTTCTGATCTGATAATTTTTTGATGACGTTCGTGATTCATTGGAGAATAATGTCCGCGGCATTTCTTTGATCTCTGCAATAATCGTGAAAGGATATGATGTTAAATATCATAATATTTGAATTGTTCAATATTCCTCATGGATATTTCATCTTTTATTTAGTGTTTAAAAAAAATCACACTGAAATTAGCATAAAATGTATTTATTCCATTTTATACAGATCTGCAGTTTTGGAGGCGTATCATAAAAGAACGATTGCAATTATCAAATATATCAAGCTACTGCACATGTTTCCATGAACATATACCATCGATCATGGTCATACTTTAAAAAAAGATAATGAATGGCAAACATTTTTATTCATACAAAAGTATGTAGCAGTTTCATTATATTGTATTGATTTTGTAGACGTGCTTTGTTAACTTATTGCTCAATCTAGAAATTCAAGTCTACTGAACACGCCGAAGTAAATGTAACACACACCACTAACAGGTGTTACAGTACTTTCCGTGTAACAGATTCATGTACTATTGGACAATCAAAAAACCTTTACACCAATAACTGATATATTTTTTGACTTAAGCAAATATTTTTGTAGCTAATACATGTATATAGAAGATATTCAATGACTTGTAGTTAAGGATATCCGATCCTCAGCCAGGAAGGATAACTCCAAAAATCAATAATTAATTTGAAATGCATCAAAATGAAGCTTGATAATGAAATTTTTTTCATGCAACAATTTTCATTTTATTCATATTTATAAGATTCAAGGGTTTTGGAAATCTTAGAAAAGGACTTATAAAAGCTGATACATGTATTTGTACCCTATAAAAGGAAAAAGAAATTAATACAGTTTTAGAGAAATAAGATTTTCTTGAATCCAGGCTTAGATACCAATGCTTATTAGCATGATATGAAATACGAAGTTATTTGTGGTGTCTTGCAATGATAGCAAAAGCATTTTACGCTATGTACAATATAATATATGACGGAAATAGAAGACAAAAAATACGAAATAAGTATAAAAATCATGACAATTTCTCTGAATGCCTGGATACCTATCTTTTTTAAACCTAAAATATATTTGTTGATCAATTTGCAGTTAGAAAATGCATTGCAGAGATTCTAATTCGCTTTTTCTGCAAAAATATTGGAGATTTGGCATTTTTCCCTTTATAATATGATAAACTTTAGACCTAATCTTAAACTTAAAAGAAATACTGTGGACAAATTTATATAATTTAGTGGATTCAGAGATACTTTTATGAGTATTTTTGATCTTAACTGCTAATCTTATAAACTTGAGGATCGGACTACCTTAATTGGACTTTTGCGAAGACACTGACTTTAACAGTTGAGGGCTTAGCATGCGTCATGTACGGAGGTACGGAATTGACAATAGATAAGAAAACAAGCATGGAGGTGAAAGTTATGGTATTGATAATAATTAGGGACTTTGAAATTATTTACGAAACAAAAAATGTAATTGGTGGTAGAATAAAATTAATTTGGATACCTTATTCACGAGAATAAGTATATCCTTTTATTTACAATAACTTAAGAAAATAAATAAAGAAGAAAACACTTTTCGGAAGGAAAACTCGGCAGGAGCTAGTCAAGGCTGCAATGTAGGATGCTGAGGTGGAAAAGTTGTCGTTTCCTTCTTAGACAAAGTAATGTGATCTTTGAAATAGCCCGTTATTATCGTTTTATTAAATGTTAAGATCAATATTTTTTTCACAAGAGAGCTCCCGTATATTTTCCTGGTGTAAAAGTAAGCCGTCGATTGTAAAAGTCAGTGTCTTCGCAAAGGTCCATTGGTGGTGGAATTTATTTCACGAGTGGGTCAGGATTTTTAAAAATATCAAAAAATGTACATACGAGTGCTTCTTCTGTATTTTCACAGCACAGATTCATATAAGCTATTAAATTTATGTTAATTTTATTGAAAATGGGGTCAATCATGAACATCAAGTTCAAGGGGTAAAAACCATACGATGATCGGGTATATCTTTTTCAGGTAATGCACATGTCAAATATGGTAGTCCTACCTCTTATTAATCAAAATTTATAAGGAAAAATAATATATAAATATATTTTTAATTTTTTGTACATTTATAAAGATCTTATTATATGTAATATACATGTGTAATATGAAAGCCTTATCTTTTCTCTTTCAAAAGTTATGAGCAATTTGAAGTAAAGTTAAAATTTTTGAAAAGTAGGCCAAACGTCATGGTCTTGCCACATGTTAAATATGAAAGCCTCTTTTCTCGTTCAAAAGTTATGACCAAGGTTAAAGTTTTGTGACAGACGGATAGACTGACAGACGAACGCTTTCATTAAAGCGGGGGACAAAAAATCCGAATTTGTATATTGTCATCATGAAAAAAGTCTGAATTTAATTGTATAGTCATCTTAAAAAATATTTCTGACTTTGTACAATTATTATCTTAATTTTAAAAAAATCATTGCAAAAAAATGAATCTGTTGTCATTTGAAATATAAAACCTGAAAAGTAAAGGTAATTAACATGAGTTACCTTAAGTAAGAATCTGTCCAGCGTTTGTACGCAGGAAGCATTCCTTTCTCTAAGATGCCTCGGAAAATAACTGGCTTACTGGCTTTAACATAATTTTCAAACATTTCTTTCGGAGTAGGGAAAGTTTCCCTCTCTTCTATTGACGTTATAGGAGGGCGATGGCTACCTATAGGCTCCCCATGACCAGTGGGGTGGTCATCAGATCTAACTTCACATAGTGATATCAGTAAACCGAACAGAACAAATCTCCACATTGCACACACAGAAATCAAACTGAATTTTGAATATTTTTTACTTATGACACTTGATAACATCTGTTGAGCTTTATTAGAATGAAACATTTGATATCACGTACATATGTCAATATTCACCTAGCTTGGTGTAGCGGCGTTTTTAAGTACTACTACATGTACATGTGTATGTACGATGTGCCGTTTTAAGCATTAAATTTTATAAGCTATTACCCTCTCTTTATTTTTTTTAGATCCCACCAGTATGTAGTACATAGGGAATTCAAACGCACGCCTCCTCCTCGTATTCATTGACAATTGACTGAAATTTGTAGACAATGTGACATGAAGATAACCAACAATATTCAAGATCAAAAGTCCATAAAACAATACAAAATAGGAATGGAGCAAACACCAATCACGGGCCTCCAAAACATCAGAGGTGGAATCAGGTTCAATGGATGAGTGAGCATCCCCTGCCGACCGGTCACACCCGCCGTGTGTTCCTTTTCATGATCGGGAAATAACGGAAAAATCCGTTGTCAATTCAGTATATGAATAGTAGACTAACAATTAGTATGAAAAACGTCAGTCAGCATTTGACGCAATGATAAATTGTTTTTGCTGACAAGGTCATTGTATCGACAATAGAACTTACGAAATGATGACTTTAAATGAGACTGCTGATATTCTTATTTCATCAACTTGTTTGTCAATAATTAACCTCGTTTTAGAAATTGTTCATACGTAGACATGTTCTCGTGTATCGAATCAACTAGATACATAAACTCCGTGTGCAGGTGAGGAAGGTATATTGCTGCTTTAGTTAGGGAAGTTGTCGATAGAAAAGTTAAAGTTATCACGTTTATCATAAAGATTGGTTGTTGAATTACCATTAACGTCTTTTTCATGTAAGATATCCAAAAATGAAACAGATGTGTCAGACTCTGACGTTTCTTTTATCTCAAACTCACCAGGATATATCGTATTGACATAAGAATGAAAATTACAATTGTTAATTTGACAAAACGTCGTCGATATATATACTCAATATCTAAATGTCGAGTTGAAGACCACAGCATGTGTTCTTTTCATGTAATGATTTTGCACAGTTTCTGCATCAAATGAATACAGAAATAGATCTTCTAATAACAGGGCGCAATTAGTACCCCATGGGAATTCTAACAGATTGTTGGAGGACAATCAGAAATCAGAAACTCAAGCATCTTATTTACACCACTTCTTGAATATTTTATTGCATAGTTCTCTTTAAGTTTCTCCTTTATTAAGTACTGTTAATATCTTAGTGAGGAGTAAAGAAAGATTTCCCCTAAAATCTTCGTCATGATATCTTTGACCCTCATAAATATAGAGCTACTCAAAAATGGTGTAACCATTTACTATTCGGTTTATACGGTCTCATCCGAAGGACCGGTACTCACTGGATGTATTGACATTGGAGTCGGAAGCAAATTGAAAATTTTTTTAGACCTTCAAAAAAACCTGACAAGCAAAAGAAAAAAAGGAAATGTCTCTTGTTCAAACACGAAAATAATATTTACTGGGGGTGGGATGGGGTGGAGGGGTGTTCGTTCGAACTTCAGTATCAATTTTTTTTTTCCAAACACCACCACTTTCCCCATTTTAAACCTATACTGAAACGTGTCTGTGGAAAGTGGGGGGGGGGGGGTAAACCTACACAGCATTTTTCAATGCCTATAATAAGTCTATATTTGGAAAAAAAAAAGTGGAGGGGGGCTAGCCCCCCCCCCCCCCCCTGTTCCGAGGCCTATGATGGAAGATTAACTTACATATGCAATGTACCTATATATAACGTACTTTACCCATATTAATACATCTGACACTGAAAACGTACTGAAACGGTGCATCGTACTTATAAATGAAATCAAGCATAAATAAGCTTTTTAAAACTTGAATAAAATTTATGGGGATTTTATCGCTGTAATCAGTTTTTTAACGCATTGTTAATTGTGTGTTTGAAAATATTTAATATAACACTGTACAGTTGAAGGGTTTACCGATCCACAACACGAGTTATCTCTCTGTTACCCTTACCCGACAATTCTAGATCTATTTCTGATATTAAAGGGACATGGACACAGATTCAGCTAAAATTTCAAAATTTATATTTCCATTTTTACAAATATTTAACTAGGGTCTATCTAATGATCATCAAAAATTTGAACGTCGAGGTACAAGACAGATTTAGAGCCCCAAACTTTTTTATGAACAAGGTCCGTGTCATGTTTTTGTTTACATAGGTTTATATACTAATATATGTTTGTTCAAATTAGAAAATTTCAATTAAAAAAGTTAACTTTAAATACAATTTGACAGTTTCTATAGATTTCTTGAATTTCATTTCGTTATAAATATGATATTTTCTCTATGTAAACAAAAACAAGGCACGAGCCTTGTTTACATAATGAAGAACTTTAAATTCTGTGTCTCGTTTGTTAATCAACATATGATGTTCAAATTTTTGCTAATCTTTAGATAATGCCTTAGGTAGGAATTGTAAACATTAAAATCGGTTTGAAAAAAATCAGAGAAAACGGTGTTTATGCCCCTTTAATGTGTCCCACGTCTCGATACTTTAATAATGATAATTATGATCGATTGATTGATTGATTGATTTATATTGTTTAACGCCGAGGCGGCAATATTTCAGCCATATTTCGGCGGAAATAATGATAATGATAATACATTCCAGAAGTATAGCCTAGGTAAAAAAAATTGAAAGTCCTTTCTCTTTTGATGCAAATGTTACAACCAAAGATAAAATCAATCTAATCAAAATGAGATGTTAAACGTTTGAGAGCGGTAGCAGATTCTGAACATCTCATTTTAATTAGATTGAAACCATTTCAAAATATATGTACTATAATTTTTGACTTCGTGCTCCTGGCGTTGTTGTTCACCTTACCTTCAAAATTCAAAGTTAAAACTGGTAATAAATGAAAAAAAGATAGGGCTGTAATACTTTACTTGTACATAATGTCATTTCCTGTCTCAATATCTTTGAGAAAATTTTTAAAATTTTGACCACTTGTCTTGACCTACTATTCAATGATTGGTTCTTTTAAAAGATTTGCCAAGAAGAAACGTGACTTTCAGGGTTTTTCGCATGTGCATTGATTTTAACAAGTCCTTTAATTAAGAACCTGTCATAATATTTTACCCCGAGACCTCGAACTTAATTAATATGCAGTTCTTAGTAATTATTATCTTGTTCCTACGGAAGCCCATTTAGGACCTATCGAAAAATATTTTTGAATCCCATATAACGAATTGTCTAATTTGTTATAACGAATCTAATTCGTTATAACAATTTCTTTGAATTCGTTATAATGAATTTATTCTGTTTTAACAAATTTGTTGATTTCGTTATACCGAATTCGAAAATTTACTAATACGAATTAAACTCGTTTTAACAGATTCTAAAAATTGGTATAACGAATTGAATTCGTTAAGACGAATTCCATAATTTGTTATAACGAATTCGACAACTCGCTACATCGAATTCATATATATTTTTCTATAGGCCCTGATTATTGAATTTGATTAAACGAATTTAATTAGTTACAACAAACTTTGGAATTTGTTCAAATGAATTTAATTTGTTATAACAAACTTTAGAATTTGTTTAAACGAATTAAATTTGTTATAACAAATTTTTGAATTCGTTTTAACGAATTTAATTCGTTATAACAAATTAAAGAATTCGTTATAATGAATTCAACAAATTTGTTATAACAGATTAAAATCGTTATAACAAATTCAAAGAAACTGCTACAATGAATTAAATTTGTTATAACAAATTCGACAATATGTTTTATCAAATTTCAAAAATATTTTTATAGGTCCTAAATAGGCTTTCGTATGTTCCTTACTTTAATAATATCAATTTATAAATTTAAATCTTTTTGTACGACAAACAGGCAATGCTGTTAAAGTATATGCAATTAATAAATACTTCCAAACCAATAAGACACCGAATCAGGGGACCACATTTCCCTGAAATTGCTTGTTATAATATTTACTTCATCGAAATGTTCAGAGACCATTTGTTGGCTGTCATTCTTATTTAGACCCAATCTTGTCAAAGCACCATCAATTAATTGTGTCACCTGAACAGGCTAAAGTGTTTTCAACTAGTTACTCCTATACTATGATGTGTTTCCAATATATAGATATTTCAGTATCATTTGTCGTCTTGATGTACAGAACAATCCCATCCTATCATCTTTTATTGAGGAAATGGAAGTTGTGCTGGTCTATGGTCAGAGATACCGCGTTCCCTGTTGGGTGTTGTTATTGGGACGTGATGGATTTCTCCAGTCATAAGATTCCACTAAGCCAGTATCTCAATAACAGTCCAGACTGCATCGAACCTGAGCTAAGGTTATAGAAAGGAAAGGACGTACACTGTAATTCTTCATAGCCAGACCACATACCAACTCAATTCAAAGGAAATAGTAGCAGGTGCTGGTCTTTCTTGGGAGCTTTTGAGATGCATACTTTCAATTAACTTTCAAAAGAATTTCACAAACCATCATGAATTTCCCATTGCAGATCATTTCATGTGCAGGCACACAAGTGTTTATGGATATTAATAAATTGGAATTATTGGTAGTAATTATTAAATGGTCTGCTAATATTAGTTGGCAAAATTACACGATAAAAATTATGATCTCTTTAAAAATGCCATAAAAATTATCGGTACTATTTCGATCCACATTTTCAATAATGGAACTTGTAAATTACTTACCTTGTCATTGGTCATTTGCAAATTTGCTTAAATAAAAAAAAAACATTCTGATTGTACACATAAGCACTCTAAAGCTGGTATTTAAAAGATGCCTCCACAGCACCTGACCCGGCCTCTGATGTTTTGGAGGTCCGCGTTTGCTCTGGTCCTATTTTGCAATGTTTAATGAACATTTGAGCTCGAATACTGTACTTTATCTCCATATATTTCATTTTTAAAGCTTAATTGGTGATGAACGACTGACTTATACATCATTTTCTTTATTTACTAGATAATTCACTGTTTTGTACATTTCATGCCCTTGCTATTCCCTTGCGAAGTCT